TTGCACAGTCAATCATCAATCGAGTGCTGCTATCTTGACAGATGAGTAGTGTGCTTACAAGAAAGGCTTGCGTGCGCCGAACGCGCCATAGATCTGTTGAAAAAGACAATCATGATCTCTCGAGAATGACATACCAATTGGTTAGGCAAACTGCGGGGTCCTCGCTTCGCATGAGGTTTCAATGCAAAACATCCGAGTCAGTAAGCGATCTAAGCATGGCGGCCTTGCGGTTCCCTTTAAGCGCGGTGAAACTTGGGGCTCAGGCTCAGGGAACTTAGACGCTACCCCCTAACCTTTAAGGAAACTCTCAACCATGAACCTGCAACCTCAACCCCTAAACTTAACTCAAACCCTCAACTTGCCCCGAACTGTAAACCCTTAAACCATCCCCTCATGAAAAAGCTGGTCCTTGCCTTCCATGCCAGGATTCTTAGCTGTGTCAGAGCAGGGGAGTTCAAGGATCCCTTTTGACAGGGTTATATGAGTTTATACCGGGATATATAGATTCTTTGGTGCATCGTGCTGTTGTGGTTACAAGCCATCCTTCAGGAGATCTTAGGCGTGAGTCCCTATCATAAAGATCATAAAGAATATGGTTATTGAGGGGTTTCTGAGGGGGACACTATTTTGAGTGCTGCAGCAGGTTTTAACTCAAGGGCATTCACCCAAGCTGTAATAAGGGTGCGTGTGCAGCGGGGGCTTCTCAAAATGCTGGGCACTCATGTAGGAACCCAGGGGATATTTGGTGACTTTGAAGGGATTCTGGAGTTACCTTCCTTAAGAGAACTTTGAGCCACAAGGTACAAGTACTAAGATTGGCGCTTGGCAGACGGACATCCTTGTCAATGTTTGCATGCAGCAGAACTTGGCATGGCACTTCGTGATCCCTAGCTAGCTGTAGGCGCAATACCAAGTTCACATGAAGTTGTAGTTCAGGGTATGTAGTAAAGCCATATAGGTTCTTGCCTCATGGTGGACCGGAACGACTGTTGGACCATCTTGGCCAGTGTCTTCCAAGTAGGGTTGCTATCTTGTCCTGCAATCCAAGGAGCAACAAAGTTCTTCACAGCAGATACGGTACCGCCCATGGCTGCAACCAAACAACGCCATGCAAAGACAACACCGAAGACAACTCCGAATAACCATCCGCCTGTAGATTGTGTGGTTTTCTTGGTACGTTTGACTCTCTGGTCGCTCGCGTTGCACAGCACATGCACAATCCGTCTTGACTGCCTTGAGCATACCTGGCTGCCCCATGCATCGCTGAAGGGCGGCTACACGTCAAAGCTGCGACGACTGAGAAAATGGTCCCAAGAGCTTACAGAGAATGACATCAGCCTAACAAGAAGCCACAAGGCCCGCCTGGAGAGCCACCTGAGACCCACGCCCCGCGCAAGGAAGAGCACGGCTGGCACTGCTCCCCATGCTCTTCGTGCATCACTCTGCGATAAGGCTGAGATGGTGGCCTCCAAGGCCACGGGGCTCGTGTCTTCCATTCGACTGAGGATGCTCAAGGCCTGGCTCCAAAGGACTTGCGAGTGGCAGGCGGAGACCAAGCCATCCCAGGTCATCGAATCCAGTCTGAGGGAGAAAGCCGTGGAGTCCATGAGCAAACCCAGCGACTTCAGCCATTCTCCTCCCGAGGCGCAGGCCTCAGAGGCAGCACCAACAGACACCTCGGAGGCTTCCACATTTGGCAGCAAGCTGCAGCAAGCAGGCCACTGTCCGCTGCAGGCGCTAACGGTCGCTGCCCAGGACACAAGTGTGGGGCGCAGAGTGCTCTGCCGAATCTTGCTCATCAGCTGCAGTGCATCCGTCCACGCGTGAGCGCTTCTACATGCAGAGATCGCCGAGTTGACTCCGGCAACTCCCACCTGCAACATCTGGTAGCTGATGGCCCTCATTGCGAGGCTCCAGGACATTCCCCTCTCCAAAGCACTCAAAGTTGATCTCAAAGAGACGGCATCAGGCCGCAGCGCTCGACTGCCCAAGTCCGACATCATCAACCAAACAGCCCTCTCCCAGCGACTTCCTTGGCCACACGCAGTCGAAACGACGTTGTTGCATCGAAGCAGGCCATCAGACGTGTTCTGAGTCCGCAAAGAATGCTGCTGCCAGCTCTCGCTTACCAGCGCAAAGCGCCAACAAGCAGACCTGCTTAGACCCGTTAGTACTGCATTGCAGCTGATCAAATCTGCCTCCCCCCAAGAATGCAGGAGTGCAAGAGCCTGGAGCCATCTGGTTGCATTTGCAGAGGCGCTGAGCACAGAGTTGAGGCCAAACACTCCCGGGCGTAGCCCGTGGCGAAGAAGCGCCAAAGCCTCCACGGCTTCTCCCCAGGCAGAGCCCTTCTCCAAGGCGCTGAGCCGCGAAGTGACCAAAACCAGGTCTGGTTCCAGCGCAGCTTCGGACAGGACAAGCGCATGCCTCCAATGGCTGGCTCTGGCCTTGGAATCTGTCAGACACACGAATTCACCACGCTCATGCCTAGCGCAACTTCACAACTTCACTACAACCATCTAAGCTCCCATTCACTGGTATTCAATGGTCGAGGCACCTTGGAAGCCACAAGCCTCGTGGTGTGGCGCAGCACTACATTCTGGCTGCCGGAGGACGTCGACTGGCATGAAATCATCCATGGTGCTGGCTTTCGCCGGCGGCAGGGATTTCAAGCCCTCAACTTCTGACCTGCTACACAGCAGTTTCCATCGTTGGATGGTTATAAATTGATTGCTAAGCTGTGGCCACCGGGGAAAGATCGATGGTGAGGCTGCCGTCTGCTTATTGCTTGAGCGTGTGAGTATGAGAGTATACAAGATGCCAAGGTTTCCACACCAATAAGTACTGGCAACATGGGTTAAAGCTGAGGTCTTCCACAGGAAAATCAAAGGTATCCAACTAGGCAGCAGGTGAAGCCAGTTTGGGATTACAGTCGACCCTCTTATCCCGATATCGACCGCTCCGCAGATGGCGTTGCTGCGCCTAGCCTTTTTTTTCGGTCTGTCCACGCTTCGCATGTCAAGCAGGACTTCAGGGGTCTCATAGGGATGCTGACAGCGCGCTTGGTCTGCAGATCTCTGGAAAGTCTTGTATATTTCTTGCAGACCTGCGGCATGTCCTTCCCTTAAGCGAGACCCCAACTTCCGAAGGCATGCCTCCAGTCCTGAAGTTTGTGGACAGTGAGGCTTGGCCTTCGGTCAGCGTCCTGCAACTCTGAAACTCCTAGGATGATCTAGGACCTAGGGCCAGCCTAACAAGGCCCTGTCTACCAAAGCTAAACGTCGCCAATGTAAATTCCAGTGCAGCGAAATTCTTGAGTCGCGTCGCCTGTTGTCTTTTTTTCCTCAGATGCAGCTCTAAGCTGTCCGCAATGAAGCATCACAGATTAACCTGTATTCTGCAGCACGAATGAAAATCTCCTTCGTGGGAGCCGCTGTCTAGGGTCTACAGGCGCCAAGACGGCCAGTATCCGAAAGCATGGGCTGAGGACTTGGATCTCACCATGGATTCTGGTGCCTCTGAATTGAGAGGGGAAAAGGCATCCATCTCTGGAGTTAATTATTTAGACACTTAAACCGGAGCCTAAAGCCTCCGAGCCTGTGTCTTGAACTGGAACCAACTGTGAAGGCTCAGGCCGCGACTTTCTCGACCTTTTAGGAGAGGAGGAAGGCACATTGCCTTGAAGCTGCCAGGGCGTACTGCTATTCGAGAGGTCTGAATCATTCCGCAGGATCAAGATTGCTAGGGGAAACTCCTCTGTGGCCAATTAAAGCGGAAGGGTAAAGTCCTGACGGACGGTTAGGAAACAGGTCTATCTGCGCCGTTTTGAACTGCAATCTCGTAACGACGTCCCCGATTCTGCAGGCTGCTCCAAAGCTGGCGCGTGACATAAATACCGGCACTGCACCTCTACCCGAGACTGAGTTATGAAAAGCGGTCTGGTGGATATTTCTTGACCGCGGTCATGCTATGAACTTTCAGAAGCTTTGCTATGCCAGGTCGTGTGCTACGTCGGGGGTTCAAACGTGAGGGGCTGTGCTACGCAAATGCTCCAAACCACATGTTAACGCGTTACATTCGTATTTATCAAGTCAAGGGCCCCCATGAAGGGTTAGACCCACGTGAAAGCATGTCGATAACGGATGAGGCGGTGGTGCAGAATGGATCAGGGGGTCCGCACAGACAGATGAAAGGGTGCACGCAGCTAGGTACGTAACAGATCAGGGGAGACCTAAATCGGATCACCAAATGCGTACACTGAGCATTCTCACAGGACCTCGACTCACATAATGTAAGAGCCTCCTTGATTTGCAACAGGTTCTGGGCATATTATACGATAGCTGAATAAAGATTATGTATGAAGCGGTGATATTGCTCAGGATTAGAAAGTCAAGCAAACTATAAACCACGACGAATCCTAGTTTTCCGTTTCAGTTTCCGTTTGCTTCTCCATCCTTGGTAATTGTTCAGACTTCTACCTCACCCTCATAGTTTAGGCTAACCCCTACAGTCCCTATATCCCATACATACCCCGTATAGTGGCATGATGAGAGGGGTGGGTGTTAATGAAACCTCCGCATGGCCATGGCTCTTGATCTCATTGCATGATGAGAGGGGCTTTAACAAAATGGGCCGTACCTCTTGATCTTGTGGCATAATGTGAGGGGCGGATTTTCAGTGAAAGGAGTTTACGAGTATTTCTGAATGTGCGGGCTTCTTAGAACTCCTTTGGGGTAGCCCCATGCGACATTATTCTGCATATCTTCTGATGCCTTCATGAATTCGTGATCTGTGCAGCTGAGCCGCTACGTGTCATTCCATGTCATGTCTGTGTACGGACCATCTGATCCTTTTCGTGGCTCCAGCCGATCCGAAACTACGCACCCGATTCTCAACACCGTTACGCACACCCAAGGTACTAATTTTGTGTGAAGTTTAATTCCTTACCTCTCACAGCCCTCCACCACGGAACTCGCAAAACTGCCAGCTCAGGCTGGCACCCTTCTCGCATGGCCAGCTGGAGCTTCTGCTTCAGTGTCTCTTCTGAGCTGTACCTCATGTGGATGGCTCTCTAGTTACGGTATTCTTCTGCGGGGCCTCCAATGTGTTAACTGGTATTACCTGGAGCATGACAGAGCACTTGGCACGGGACCCTAATTCTGGCAACTACGCGTCTTTTGTGGCTCCGCAGGCTCCACACACGCATGCAGAAGGGCACTCAGGAAGCTTGAGGTAGTTTGCACAAGTCATGACGGAGGGCATGAAATCATCTGCCCTGGCATGCCATGCATTGACTGCTCTCTCACAACTGCCAATGCTGGTGAGTAGACTAAAGTGGGCAGCAGCACGTCAAAGGAGCAGATGGCGCTTCCTCGCCACGCGCGGCACATCGGAAGGGCTATGCTGCATCAGCACAAGGTTTGCGCATGAAGGCAACATATCATATGGTGCAAGTGTGAATTGGAAGGCTCTAGAAATGATCGCACCTCCCATCCTTCATGTGCTGGTGTAGTTTGTGGTAAGTCAAGAACAATTACTGCATCTTCCACCTCTCCAATGCCGAAGCTAACAAAGATCTCCAGTGCATGTGTCAATGGCACCCGTAATGCACCGAGACTGTTTTGGGGAATGAGAAATGACTCGTTAAGAGGGTCATAATCTGTCTGCGGATTTCTAGAAGTCATGCCTCCCTGTTTCCGGGGTCCCCACAATGCGGACTCTGTTTTGGGGGAGAGTTATGCAGCGGACCTTCAACAAACACCCATTCGAGGCCCTCATGTAATCAAACTCCGCAGCCAACACGTCCTTCTTGACAACAGTGAGGGGTGGCTTGAGGCCACTGAACCCACCGATCGGGAGCGTCGGTGCACCTCATAAACCGGGCCATGGACAGTGGTAGTCAACAGATACGGCATTCGTATCCTGAGGCAAGAAGATGGCGAGCATAAGGCGAGGCACTGGAAGATGAGGGGCAGCAGTAAGAGCAACAGCAGAAGTAGTAGCGTCCATGCTCAACATCTTCTTGAAATTGCCTTTCATCGAGACCATCTCGCAGCACGACAATCCATGAAAGCGTCTCCGCACCCAACCATGGAACTGAGGTCTCCACCCGTTGCAAACATGAGGAAGTTCCGCCTCAGGTTTGCAAGGACCAAATAGCAAAGCAGAAACAATACATGTTGTCAGATTTTTTGGCAGAATCCTGGGACAAGCAAGCCGGCAGCCTGTTTTCAGGCGACAGACTGGAGAGGAAGTTCAACAAATCTTTGAAGCACCTGCAACCGGGACGAAGGCTTAGGGCATAGGGACAAGCACTCAGCCAGCAAAAGCCTGCCACGCAGTATGGCTCTCAAGATAAGTTGCTACCACCCAGCAGAAACTACTTGCGAGACTTGCATAGCCTGTTTCACATGGCCCTTTACTACCATCACTACAAAAACAACGCCAGGCAGTACGCCGACCGACCGCTTCAGTGGTAGACATCTTTTGCCTGGATTCAGCTGTGTAGCCGTGCTGCGCCTGGCCAAGCGCGCAGACAGTGCTTGAGGCCGGAAGCAGGTGATCAAGGAAGCAGCGCAATGCTGGCAATGCTGGCAATGCTACATCTGCTGCCAGTGTGCTGTACCGCACCAATGCTCCTTTAGTTCTATCGCCGTGGTCCGCCCCAATAGTTTGGCAAAACCTTCCCGCGGAGTGGCCTTGATGTTTGCTGCCAAGTGGTCGAGGCTCCAGAACGTATCCTCTTGCACGGAGGAGCCCACGATGATGAAGGACAGCTCCTAGTATCTGCCATGTCAGACTGTCTCGGGCGGGTGCTGCGTTGGATGGAACGGAATTGTTGGGGGATCGCAAGGCTACCCCAATGAAGTAGCCCAACATACGCCTTACTACTGTGCCCATGAAGCTTCTAACTTCTGATGCCTGTACTCTCACAGCCATACGAGCGTCAGTACAGATAGATACAGTACCTTTGACAGGCGAACCCTACAAACATCAAAATTGGCCGCCCTCCTGCTTCCCAATCTGACATGAAGCTTTGGCAAGGAAAACCTGGTCAATGATACTGGCTGTTGCAGATTTCACTGAGAACAACTCCAGTAGCAAAAGCAGTTTCAAGCTGTGGAACGTGGACTGGTCACCAGGCTGCGATGGCCCCATCTATGTGCCACTTGGGTCCGTCCCCAATTGAGAGCCTGAAAAGCCTTGGTCCCCAGAACCTATTCCCCAAGCTCCAGATCTACGAACAAGCCTGCGCGCTCCGTAAGATCCCTTAAACACCACTATGCTCCCAAAGGAAAGGTCATCTGCAGAAACAGCATATCCACCTCCGTAACATCTCTTGGCAGCATGCTCCTGTTCCGACCAGATGCGGCAAGTCTCCAGAGGCAGGAGCTCTTTGAAAGCCTGGCAGTTGACAGAAGCTGTGTGAAAAAAGCTGGCATTCCTGACATTGTTGTGTTGGAGGCCAGTCATAGTTTAGCATTGTAACGTTGACTTGGGAAACTGCCCAACTTCTACAGTACAATATGATGTTGAAATTGGATGTTCACATCCATCAGCCCGCTGTTCCCATAGCTTCCAGCTTGGCTTGCACACTAGATAGGGATCAGCAAAAACCGGAAGAATATTCCATACGGGTCTGCACTTTATCCCCCAGTTCTGTCTCCTCGAGTGTTTCCTATCCAGGAGCAGTCCAACGCTCGCAGCAGGTTCTTGCAGCCACCGCCCCGAACCACCTGCATAGAACTCTGAGGTTCCGACCAACTCACACGCCCTCAACCCTAACTGCACATTCTTGATCCTACTGATACTTCAGGGCATTTAGTAACCTCCACCTCCCCATGATGTGGACCCTATGACTCTCGAATGCCTGCTTGTTTTTCCTCATTTCGTGTTCCACGCCCCCTGCAGCCTCCGCCTATACACCACCCCAAGCAGAATCGGAGCCGTGGGCACTGTCCGGAAGGCCGTGATCTGAGGCGCCACAGCCTCCACGAGCGCCACCTGCCACGGCGTTCAATTGTAGGATGGCGAATATCATGGTCCTTTGCGGAGGGTTCCAATCATGTAGTCTACATGGTACGGACGGGGGCCCTTGTTGCTGCTCAAAGCAGAAGCTCATTTCTGGACATTGTGAAATTGCGGCCTAGTGCCAAGGGTTGAGGACTTTGGGCTTGGGGTGTGGTTGTTGTTTGGGGTTTGTTGGAGCAAGGTCAGGAGTGCTGGGCAAGTCTGTAGATTCAGATTACAAGGGTTCAGCCCTCGGGGCTGTAGACTGTTTGTAAACTGGGCTCCCGAGACATCAGGCGTTGATCACTCTCGAGTGCACCAAAACTGCCACTACCAGGCAGAGAAACGATGATTGCCTAAGCACTGAACACCAACATGAGGGAGTGGCCTTAGGCTACTTTGTATCAAGACAAACTTTAAAAAAGTTTGGCCACCTCCCCAAAACCGCTCACACGTGTCCCTGGTCTCTATGGGGCGGTCTGGGTCCGGGCCTTGTTGATGCCACATCTCTTCTTCTCCCGTACATCAGACAACATCCAATCTGTGACGCAATGGCAAGCAAGACCGAGACTTTTGCCTCGGAGCCTGGTCCCCTCCCCGCCCGCCCGCCCGCTTGCTTGCTATCCCACGCTCGCGCACTCCCCTAATTTTATGTGTTGCTTTCCCCAGCAGTTTTGCATCTTCTAAGCCTCGAGGCCCGCTTCAGTCCTCACATCTCGACTGGTATGGGGATGCCAGATATCTCTCTTTTACAGAAGTGGCAACCTTCGCGATGTTTCAAGGGTTCGGGGCTTCTGATCATCTTGGGACATAGTTTGGGAGACTCCACTGTAAGTAAGAAGCCTGCGGCCTTATTATTGAAAGGAAGTAGAACTGGGGTGCACCTCTGCAACATGACGCAGGTACTCGTCACGATTGGAGCCTGTGCCCGGATTGAGGGTTAAAGCGACTACGCTGTAGAACTGTAGAAGATGCTCAGCGTAATTTCCCTAGCACGGCTTTTTGCGTTTACTTGGGTACGACCTTTCTTCCAGTAAGCCGCTTATTCGCATGGTCACTACAACATGCTTTCTTATCATCTGTACTAAGATGTCTCATTGTCTGAACTCACTTCTGTACCAGATTGGGCCTAGCAAGGTCACTACAATAAGTCTCTGATTATAGAGCAAGCTATATGAGTAAATCGTTGACCTTCATTTCCGCATCTCTGAACGGGAAAGCGCCACTTTCTGGACTCAGAAGGGCCCTCAAGCACAACACTTTGAAACAGCATAAACCCCCTAGCCGCCTTGGAATCCGACGCCCAATTTCAACTCCAGATCCTGGGCCTCTGAACCTTGAACTCTAAACCTTACATCCGGAACAGAATGCCGGCAGCTGGCACGACTCATAACCCTAATCTGCAAAGACACCAAAAGGCAAGTACGTACACCACAAACGCACATGCAAACCAGAATAGCAGCTAGTGGCGAGTAGAACTATCAAGTACAGCTCATTTATGAACTTTAGGTCTTTCCGGCGCAGTCAGGGCCCTCCGCTGAGCTCTCCGGCTGTTGAGGCTCACCCCTGCTCCACCCGGCTTCAGCTCGAGGCTTGAATTGCCTGTTGCAACAACCCCCTTTTTGGCGGGGGATCTAGGGTTAAGTGTGCTTCAATTTTCGGATTTTGTGTTCGGGGATTGTTGGGTAGATGGATTTCCAGATTTGTATTCTACTCTTCCATAATATATCAGGAGTCTCCAACTAAGACGTTGCCCATAACTAATCTTCAACTTCTCTGTAAACTTCTATAACCGGAGCATGTTCAACCATGCAGTCATGGATGATTCTGTAGAGGGATATGAGACATAGGCCTTGCAACTGAAAATAGGAATGATAGACTTAGTATTGCACTCTTGCATTGATTTAAGATTCGGTGCCGAGACAAGAAAGGGTCTGCTTTGAAGAAATGACGGGAACTGTTACCAACACGTAAAGCCACACCTAAACTGAGAGAACCCTATGTCTACATGCTAAGTTCCCGCAGATTACACACCCCTGAGCTCACCCCTTCATGGCCTGGCATGGTGAAGTCAATGCAGAGCGACTCAAGCTTGCTGCCATCCATATCACGGATGTTCTCCAGCGAGGAGTACAACTGACGGGCGGTCATCAGGGACTAACTCTCGGTGACAAATGGATTGTGTCAGTGTTTGGAGCAAGACGTGCTGTCTGAAAAGTGTCAAGCCCTCGGAGAATTGGGGCAAAAAATCAGGGAGGCACCAGGAAGCTGAGGCAACTCACTTGAGCCATAATTTCTCTCATGCTCAGCGTCTTCGGGCCTCTGGATCAACTGATCGCAGCCACTGCTGAGAGAGGGGCGCAGTGCCTTGAGCAAGTTCGGGGCTTCCAACGATTGAGTGATAAGCAGAATAAGAATAAGGGAATGTTCAGGACAGGTTCAGGACAGCTCGGTACAGACCCTCACTGAAGTTCCACAAAGAATCATGCCCATCAGGGCCCGCATCATTGCCCTGCTCTAGCTTGAGCTTGTACCAGCAACACACCCACATGGGATTAGCTGGCCCAGAGATTCACTAATGAATCTACGTGAACACATGTAATTAAGGAAGGCTAACTAGGGGCTAGACTAGTGAAAAGCCACATGAGTCCATCTGAGCTAGATACAATCTTGGACCAAACATGGTAAATGCTCTGTCGGTCCCGATTGGAAGATTCGATCTACCTAGCGAGGGCTTGCAACCCCTAATATGGTCCAGCCCCGTACATTTGCACTTGGGCTCCCTGCCAAGAACAGATCGCCAGAAGGCCGGATGCAGCCTTAAAACCACAAGGACTGGGACCGTCCTCAATTTCAGGATCCATGTTCTAGCAGACCCAACTGCAATTTTGCAACGACATTGACCCCGTCGCATTTACAGCCAGGATCTTTGGGTCCCAAATGCGGTGCACAGCTTGCTCCAAAGTTGCCAGGTTCTTTCCTGCCTGGACTAACTTCTGGCAGAAGCTTTTGCATGGGGCATCCTTCCCGTATGTGGTAAGGTCTCAAAATCGTGAAGGCACGGTGCTGCATAGAGAAAGGTTCCTCCCCCATCTTCCTTTGCGTCCGTCGCCGTAGCGACAGCGCAAGAAGAGTCGACCTGAAAGACATTCCTGCCAGCAGCATGCAGTGACGGCCTCTGGACCTTCTCGAAAGTTAGGTGTACGAGCCGTCCCGAAAAGCGCCACACGGCTTCGGTATCCCCAATCTAGGCCCCAATATGATCAACCTTCACATCCCTGAAGGAACACAGAGGAAGAATGAGTAGTACAATGCTGGGAATCTCTCGGTACAAGTGCTCCTTACAGAGACGCAGACTGCACGTCCACCAAGCGATTGTCGATGATGCACTTGGCAACCACCTGACCCAAGAGCCTGCCAAGCGGCATGATCGGATCATTCCAAGATTAGGACAATTCATGTCATGGGTACCTTTGGGAACCTGACCGCAATCCAGAGGGACCCGATTTGAGGAAATGCTCATGTGTTGTGACAATGCATTTGCAAAATCCACACTGCCAAGTGACATGAGCCCATAATCCCAAACCCGCATACTCCAATGATCCTCTCGGCAAGCCTCTCAAACTCCAGACAGCTGAGAGTCTTTCGTGACGTGCCCGGCCTAAATCGCTCCAGGATCTGCTGAGCAGCCTGGCAGCAAATGCCCTAAAAATTAGCAACTAAGGATAAGAAGAAGAGCAACAAATCCAAGATACCAGATGTAAGTTGAAAAGGATCCAAACTTCTATGACCTTCACACGATGTTGGTGCAGGCTGCAATGAGTGCACTTTGACGGAGACTGATGGGAAGTTCTACTAGAGAACGGTGCGGCGCGGGTTCAGTGGAATTTAGTCCCATGGCCTCGCGGAAACACAACCAACACCATTCACAACATACTTGTTTTTCGGCTGTCCTAGGAGTGTTCGGAAAGCTGACCCTTACATTGAAGCAAGCTTCCATGGTTTGGTCCGTTTTTGTTCAGCTGCTGGCATTGACGGTTGCAGCTTACAGCAGGAACCAGATTTCAAGAGGAGTGTTGCAAGAGCCCATGCAGCATGCAAATGATCCAACGACCATCCAATGCCTTTGGCCCACCAGGGATCTCCCTTTTCCCTGAAGCCCGGGCAGTGAGCCCACACAACGAAAAGCCGAATACTGCTCCATAACATCCCTCATACCGCGACCCTGAAGCCCTCGACCGTAAACCTTGGCCCCCTACTCTTATAGCTGTAGGCTCTATGACTGTATCATGCGTTCCCCGCTAGTTTTTCTCGAGGAAAACCATGGTGAGATCTACCTGATCCTCAGCTCGTCGAAGCCAGTGCGGGTCATAGGGCTGCGGGAAAAGCCTGCCAGTTCAGACTTTAGAACAAGGTTCTGCGTCAAGGGTTTAGAGATTCTAAGTCATACGGAAAATTGCCAGATTATGGTGCCTCTTCATTTATTCGGACCCAAAAAAGGAGCATACTTCTGACAACCCCCGATCCAGGTTTCTGGGCGATCGATTTCTGGAAAATGAAACTTGACCATGTTGAGTGTGTTGGATTGCCCAGCTCTCCCTCCTTATGAATACATCGCCCGGGAGATTTCAACAACTTAATGTTGGTATTGTGATTTCACTTGCCATCCAAATCCTTGCAGTCGCAATCAGGTTGGTAACCCGAGTTTCGAACATGTTTCAGTGTACCCTCAAATCTGTCAAAATCATCGAGTGAAGAGCGGATTTGACATTGGACCCGCTGGATGACAACCGCGCGCTGTCTTCAAGACCAACATCTATTCTCAGCCCCCCAGCCCACCAGCTAGAGATGGCTTAGGTGGCATAGCTGGACAGAAAACTTGGTTTGTGCCCAGACATGATTAGCCTAGGATTAGTTGGTACTTTCCCAAAATGTGGGGACCCCAATGTAACCAAAAAACACTAGAGTCCTTAAAAGATGCCCCGAATTTGGGGAAACCCCCAGTTATTAGTGGACCACCGACCTCAGCCTGACCAAGCACCTGCTGCCGAGGGACATGCCCCCAGGAGTGCTGGTTCTGAAAAGTTGCGGCTGCAGCGTCCTGCACGCTCCACAGGAGTATTTTGATCACAAAACCAGAAAATTCATCATAATGTATGGCTGATCCACAAAGAGCCCCATCAGCTAAAGAAACCCTCAAGCCACACACTTACATGTTCAACGGCGTCCATGAAGCCAGAAGCCCATCGAAATACAAACTGTCAAATCACCAATGCCGTGGTGCAAAAGCTCCAACTGCAAGGCACTCTGTTAGAACGGCTACCTTCAGTGCCTCTGTAGGAGAACAGTCAACCACGTTTGGGCCTCCATATCGGAAGTGAACATGTCCCAGCTGCTAGCAGCCTACGCCCTACTAGTACCAAATCAGCTTTCTTAGAAGCAATTGATGCTGCCGGCCGACTGCCCCAGAACAAGGAGCAGAGGGTCTCGTTGAGAAATCCCCGGGTAAGCTTTTTCGAGCAGTTGAGCTTGTTGCTGCTTGCTAAAGCTTGGGCCCATCACACCCAATTCATGCCATGGCCTCCACGAAGTGGATGCTTGACTAAGAAGCGCCCTAAACTCTTCCAAATTCTCTAGACCCCTTGCCTTCCCACCCTTCCCAAGCCAACAGGAACATGCCAATCAAGCCGCACCGATCCTCAAGTTCTCAGCAACCTGTGCGTAGAATTCGAGAGTCGGTCCAGAGCCAGTTCCCACCTCAAAGCTAAAAAGAACATGATTAAACAAAGTGCTCGCATTATTAGCGTTTGGGGTTGATGGTGCAGGGGCTCGGGGTTTCGGGTACAGGGGTTTTGGGTAGTCCGCGCGCGGAAGACCGTGAATTCCAGGAAGCTTGCCCGAAGGAATCTGCAAACTCACCCCACAGAAGCCAGAGGCACTCTGGCCCCGACTCAGCCTGAAACACAAACTAGCCTTGGCCCTAGCCGAAACCCTGTTGCATCTGCATTGAAGCACAAAATTGTGCCCTGCATCGCACCCTGGAACGTGCACCGTCCAGTGGCCTCTCCCGCATATTCGATCTCCAACCTAGGCAGTTGAGGAAACTCTACCTGGCCAAACATCTCTAGGAATCTTGCTTGCTAAGCACCTAGGGGCCTTCAAGAGATCATTGATTGCACACATTCGGATCCCTGGCTTCTGGAGAACCAGGAGGATGCACGACAGAGGCTCCAGGCAATGCATTTCCAGCTGCGTAGAGGTTCATGACTTTGACCTTCACATGAAGCTCCAGGAAGAAGCACGGTATTTGGAGCTAGGCTGATGTAGGGCGTAGGGCTTCGGGGATGAAATTTGGGGATGAGGATTCCAAGGTCCACTACTGGTTAGAGCCGAAATGAAATAGAATTGAGCAAGCTGCTGATTGTTTACTCGATCAACATTCCCTGGCCGCGGCGGTTCTAAGTGAAGTTCAGACTTCGTTTTCTACTCCAGGTTGTGACCAAGTCTCTTGCTCAGACTGTTCGACACAAAGCAAAGCTCTGGTCAGCTGTAAGCAATCTTGACGAAGCCCACTACTCCTTCATAACAGCACGCCTTTGCACTCACCTCACTTTTAATTGGAACAGAGAATGAAATGATGGGAACTATGTTAATGAAAAAGCTAACGAAAAGAGCCAGGAAGCTAAAGTGGTGAGCTCATGAAGTTACGCCTCGCATGTTCAACTTACGTTTCACTTCCCAGCTGTCTGTCCTTTTTCAGCACTAAGCGTGCCTCCTTCGGAAACCCACTCCTTGGGCCCTTCTTCAGAAATCCCTGCCTTATGGTCATAAATTTGAGACGTGTTTCTCGTAACTGTTTTGAGTAGCGTTTTGGCAGCGCTAATGCTCAGTCTTGGGCAGCACTGTCCAGCAGCCGCTGACGGGAGATACGCACCTGCCGACAGACTGGTCATTACTCATAACAGGCTTGTCAGCATTGGGGTTACCTGGGACGGGACTACCGTATTCTGCAGGAATCTCATATGCAAGGGGTCCTCATCTTGAAAATGTCGCAGGTTAGGGTCTGGGTTTTTTGAAACTCTTAGGATCTTGTGGTTAGCGTCGGCTCTGGATTTCAGGCTTTGGGTGTCCTTCTTGGTAAGCTGGTATGCCAGTGGCGCCGAGCACAAACCCTCAGGACATCCTCTACCTGCTCTTGAGCCCAAAAAATAGAACCTTAAAGCCCTAAAACCCGGGACGGGCCTTTTGCCGCGGAACGCTCGCCACGCCCACTTCGCTTTCGAGCCTGATCCGACAGTAGAGGCTTGAAGTCTCTCCTCCATGTAATGTATGTAAGGCACCCTACAGCCTCTACCTATGTGGAACGGGGATGCGGGGAACATGGTATGGGTTCCCAGCTTCAAGAAGTTGTCCACCAATAGAGCACCCTGCTCTGCTAGAACCAGGCTTCAATGGCTTGAGGCTAAGGCTCTAGGGATCTGAGTCGAGAGCTATGGAGTGTTATGGGGTTTGGCCTTGTGGGCATTCTAATCTCTGGTTTGAAGGTCTCAGCCATGGTCCTACGATCCTGAAATCCTTCCACCATGATGAGGTTCACTTTCGACACTGAACAGCAGCCCATACGTAGATGCATCCTTCTGCTTCACCTAGGAAGAAGCTGCAAGAGCATGTGAAAGGGACCCAAGTTCTAAACTAGCCTTACCCAGAATCCCCAAGCTTTTGACAGAGAAAGCCTGAAACCCCCCAAGCATGATGAGTCTCAAGCTGTCCCTAAAGCTAGACTCTCTTGACCGGCTTCTGGAATCCTAAGCTCTCTTCTACACAACCGCCTCTTGGGTGGTCAGAGGGACTTGAAGAGTATTCCTATTCCTTTTACAAACCCCCCACTGCTCCCCTGACTAGGAGGTAGGTCACTTGGACCCTTCAAGGAAAGCTCACTATCCAGGGATTATAGGCTCTATATTGGGGTTATATAGGGATAATGGAAAAGAAAGTGGAAACTACTATATGGGGGTTCAGGGTTTACCTAAATCTCAGGTCAGTGCCGCCGATGCGTCTCCTGGTTGTGAGCGTGTTGCGCCTTGGAAGGAGGCGGGTTACGCGTGCGGCGCGAACCCTACAGCCTAAAGCCTGGACCATAGACCGTAATATCCGAAGCCTAAAGCCTTGTAATGGTCTGCAGGATGCAGAATGCAGGCTTGAGGGTCTTTATCCCATGGGAAAACTGCCAGATGCTGAAATCCACCTGCGGCAGGAGATTTCTTGGGTCTCCAACACTGCAAAAAAAGGCCGAGGTGCAAGCCTACATCCGTCAGCTAAGGATGGAGCCACTGCTCGCTGTTGCACATGGTGCAAAGCGCGGCTAAGTCCGAGATTGCAGCTGTGGTGAAGGATCCTCGAAAACAAAATTGCAAATGCATAGCAATCAACGGGGATGCTGGAAGGTCCTGTGGGATTAACAGTCGCAGCAACAACCTCAATCGAAAATGTGGGGAGTTGCTCTTCAGAAGATAATGCAGGCCTCCCGTACCATTCAAGAAACTTGCGCCACAACAACAGCCCAGAACCTGGACCTGTAGCGCAGTAAGCCGTGTACTCAACGGAAACATGATGGGGCTCTGCTGCTACTACAAGCATCTGCGGTCTACTCACATTCAGGAACTGAAACTCCAACGACTCACCTAGCATGCAAGTCCTCCGCACCGAGTATGGGAACAGGAAGCGGCAAGCTCCTGGCAATCTTGGTTGGCTGCTGCTGTACCCATTGTGGTTTGCGACACCTCTCTCTGTATACTCCGAGAAAAAGCTGGGGCATGGCAAAGCTAAACAGTTGAGGCCCCTTTTTTTGCTAAGAAACCACAGCACTGAAAGGCAATCCATGATTTGAAGAATCTCGTTGGGCACCTAATGCGCGACATGCTACAACCTAATGGAGTGACTAGTCCCAATCATGACAGAGAGGGCGTCACCAAGTATTCAAGCTTCTGCAATACCCTGGTCCTGCCAGCTTCGTGCACCAACTCGGCACCGAGCCTGCTCCCAAACAAAGGGCGGCACCAGAGTGCGGTGAGGAGCATGCAGTGCAAAGCGATTTGGATTGGAAGGAAACTGGGGAGGGCCTGCCAAATGGCCTGAAACAAGAAACCTGCAACATGTCTTCAAAGAGAGCGCAGCAATGGACTTCGTTTTCTCCTCAGGCAACCCAGAAGCTGGATCTGACTAGGCTCAGGATTCTCCGCACATCGCAAAACGCGCCATAGCTAGCACAATGTCACCACCGTAGCGCTTCTTATAACAGAGCAAACTAAACTTCCAACATCTTTCCATGAGCAAAATCCTGAGCCTAGTTTTACTAATCCAATCAATCGGGGCACGGCAGAAACCTGAATCTGCTCCGCTCCGTCCTCTGTCGAGCTTTTCTTTTCCAAGCGGAAAGCTAAAAGCAAGCTGAGGAATCATCAGCTTACAGGAACAGACCCACCCAAATTGATGAAGTGGTCAGATGATGCTTTCCCAGAGGGCCCCACGGCGAGATAAAATCAATATCAAAGAAGGCCTGCAGCATGTACCTGAAACTACTACAACTCTTCTTACCCGTGGAGGTCCCACAGAGGATGCCCCCAATTTCGAGGCCCCCTCAAGTAGCATGCGCAGGCTTAAACGATCATCAGATTCTTGTGAGGCCACCCATATGCAGCTTTGTGCTTGTTGAAGGTGTCCTTAAAGCTGTCCAGCAAGAGCGTGTGGTACAAGTCTATCTCATACTGCTTCGGATCGCTCCTCAAATTTCGCAAAAAAGGGGTACCACAAGGCGTGCAATCCCTATTGAAAAGAAAATCAAGATTGCGGGTCTCCAGGACTGCATACGGCCTAGATTATGTTGTGTAGGTGAGGCCACTTGAAGTTGTGAGCCAGAAAAATTGCGTACGGCTCCAGCAAACTCCACATTTACTCTGAACCCTCAGGTGAATTCCGGGAAAACTACCAAATTATGCTAACTTAACCAGCACAGCTGTAGGGCATTTTGGGACACTCGACAGGTGCCCCAGCAGCCATCAGGATAGGGATGCGCCGGGCGGGGCCCATGGGCCACCCCCAGCGCCCGACGAAGGGAACCAAAGACCTAAGTGAGCTTCCAACTGCCTGGGAGGGGTAGGTGAACAGTGTTCAGGTGCCTAAGATTGAAAGTGAAGGGTTGGGGTTGGGGGTAAAGTTTGGCGTGACTACAGGCTCTGCAAGTTACGGCCCATCGTTCTCCGTCACAGACATTCGCGGCAAGATTGTTTAGGAACAGATTTTGGCAGAGAAACACCCACGCGGGTAGCGGTGGGGTGTAATTCGTGGGTTGGGGTTGAAGCTCTGAATACTCAAGGAGTTTCCAGAGAACTGCTACATCTGTTCAAACAAACCCTTTCCGAATGGCAACTCGCATCTAGGACCCACTGAGTTCTTGTTGGAGCGTGGTTGCCCTTACGGCGTCGAGCGCGCACTCCTTAATCCACGTGTCCAAAAACCTTCGGTAGTCATGGCCAGCTTGTGATACCGAATACGTATGTAACCCCAAAGTCTTTAACAGGCGGCTTCAATGGGAGCTTCATCTTAACTAGCCTGGGGCCCGTCATCCTGCAAAGGCACACATCCAGCGAGATTGAGACGCGCTCCAAGATGCGAAAAGGATCCTCGATAAGGTTCAGGGGGCATCTAGGGCCCTTTCCGTAGCTTAGTCTATGGAAACAAAAAAAAAGAACCCATTTTTTCGTCTGGTTTGAATGCCGATGGGCCAGGATGGGGCTCAAGAGCGATGTGTGGCCAAAGCCATAGATTGGGACCAGGGAAGCGCCAGTCTCAAGCGCCATCTTCACAATGCCCTTGCCTGAGCTGTGGGGAAATTGGCTGGTACAATCTCCATGTGAAGCCTGGAAAAAATGCATCCATGTGTAGCGACCTTGTCAGCTTCAGCAAATAGCAAATGACGTCAGGCTGATAGTACTTGTCACCAAGCAGCGCTGCAGAAGCCACGCAGCTTCTTGCTTGTCTGCTCTTGGCTGGAAGATGCCAGCCACTCCATCCAGCACTACAGCAACATTTTCAGACCGCGCCAGCGTTGCGCGGATGTTCTGGGCTTTGGCTGGCATGACACCGGCCCGTTTTAGATACGAGCGGATGAAGGGCAGCTTGAAGAGAATGGGAGCAGCCACCCAGCTGCAGCGGTTGCCGCCAAGCTTATCTATCATAGCATAGTCAATACCAAACGGTAAGACTCCGTGCGGAACAATGCAGAAAATCCTCAGAAGTCAGCCGCGCAGGTACAAAAGCTGGACAAAGAAGCGCACGGCACACAATACCTAAGAATCTCTCCCATACACGCTGTGAACACTACACATGAATGCGGTCCCAGATCAACGGTCCCTTGATTGTCCGCGTAGGTGGATGCAGCTCGGCCGGCCACACATACTTCATGTAGAGATAGCTGTGCTGGTTCCTAGAGGTGAACGGTAGGGACGGGCTAGACACTGGTTCTACTACAAGCTGATAGGACAACCCCAGAAATGCAGCGCTTGTCTCCTGTACGGGAAGTCATACCGCTCATCCTTGGATCTCTTAAAGATCCAGCAGAGCACGGCCCACGAGGCAAATGGAAAAAGTACGTACAGGATCAGCAGACGCGCGCATCGTGGCCAGCCACGCGCATAACTCAGCAGCGCCAATGCAAACCAAACGCCTGCTGCACCGCTGACGTTGATGTAGAGGAGCCTGTTTTTCTTCAAGCCCACATCTTTGATGCGCATCATGCACAAACGGTTCAGGATGTTGACATGTCTACTTCAGGCGCTTAGGGTACATAACTCAGACAAATCCAGATCAGGACACAGCTATAACCCTGCAAATGTGCTTGTAGTATAATTGCATGGACTTTTACGCATAGTGTGATCGCTTGCGCGTTCTAGTTTAGAAGCTTCCCGAAAACGTACAAAGCCGGTATTGTATAGTCTTTTAAGTTTTGGGCCAACTGACATCTTCTTACCAAGCATTATTAGGGAAGGTCTGTCTGTGGGCATGGGATGCAAGTCATTGGCGCGCAAAATTTCATACAATTCCGGCATAGCTTCCAGCAGACTCGCACTTATCCACCAAGCCTTTCGTTCCTCATCATATAGATCCAAAGCAAAAGCCTGGCCCTGAACCTGAACGGATCACAATGCTGATGACAATTTCTGCCATGCCGCGTGCCACAAATCCTCTCCTAGGTCGCATGTGGAAAAACAATAGCCGCACACGCTGCAAGGATGGAGGTTTTGGTTCAGATCCATGCTAGGTACTTAGAACAAACTCCGCAACCTTTGTAAGTGAAGAAGGTCACAGATGACATCTGTGCGGAGCTTTAGTTGTGTATGAGCGACCGTTGCCAAAACAAGGAATTCAGGACTTAGGTGTACCTGGCTTCGTACTAGTACTGAGTTGCTAGCATGGAATGACGACACAAGTTGTATGGACCGTTCTGCCTTTGGGAGGCCTCGCAAAACTACCCAGCAAAGATTGTTCCTAGGAAGAAATCTGTTTTTGATCAAGGCCACATTCCATGGAAAACGACCTGATGTATTACCACTGGTCCGCCGCCTTAGCCTGAAGTCTCTTCTAGAAAGAAATGCTTGAAACCCTTAACCCCAAAGACTCTGTACCCTTACAGCCCGGACAATTCAAACACAAGCTCACGCGAGTTGGAGATGTTCTTGCAAAATGGCAGGGACACATTCATGTTGAAACATGAGGGTGCCATGCATCAATTGGTACCTCAGAAACAAAAGACTCCTTAGACCTTGCTAATAGCGCACCGCGTTTGAGGCTCAGAATCTCAAAAAGCCCCCTTCACTCAGAATAGCCGATAACCTGAATCCTAAATCCTGCAGCCCAGTCTCGAAGTGTTGAAGCAATGACAGAGGCGGTGCTGACCGAGCTCTCAGCGAGCGGTTTGGGAACCCTTCAGGGCCCGCAGTCTGGCAGTGCTGGCACCACTCCTAAGCATAAGGACCGGAGTAAATTGGTTCTGTAAAGGGAGCTGAGCTGGGCCTTATGGGGATGATATGGAGGTACGCTTGAAGCACCCCAAGATTTTCCAACTTCATGATGCCTCGTGGCCTCATGTACATAATCGCTACACCTCTACTACCCCCATGCAAGCCTTGGCTGCCCCAGACACCCAAGCCGTGAGCACACTCAACCTTCAATCCGGAACCTGAAGCCCGAAATCCTGAGCCCGAAATCCTTGCCCCTAAACAGCATACCACCAGACCCTGTACCCAGAATGGGCCAGGTAACGGAGAAAGGGACCTCAGGCCGGAAGAGTCCCTCCAGCTTCGCCAGGTCCAGGCGATAGTACTTTGGGTCTGCTAACGTGTCTGGCATCCTCCTACTTTGCTTGGAGCTTTTTGACGGTCTTCTGACTTGGGGTGTATGGCTTGAATTTTGGTTCGCAGGAATGGCAATTATTCAGTTCAGAAGGGGCGGGGTGTTGACGTAGAGTTGACAGGGGTCCATTGTAGGCCGAGGACTTGGTGTGGCCTTTGGAATCAACATGTGCGGACTGTGAAGTAACATCTTCGCAAGTATGGCTGACAGCAAGTACGCGCATACCTAGCAAGTCGTGAGCCCCTCGTACCCTGGCAGGATTCAGAACCTAGAGAGGACCGATTTCATGTGTGAGCACGAATGCAGATATGCATGTAAAGATACGGTCCGTGTTGTTGGAACACCCAAAATTGGACCCAGGCTTGAGAAGCTCCATATCTAACAGCCCTGCGGGGTGGATTATCCAGTACGGGTTCCTCCGGGGCAATGGGGGAGGATGAGCTTGAAACCCCGAGATGAGGATAACCTGTGAGGGTTGGACGCTCCCGTTTACGTTACATGGAAGTAGCTCTTGACCGAAGTAGTAAGTGTCTCATCGCTCCCACCCCGTTGAGCAGAAACAGCAGCGACAGGGTAATTGCAAGGACAGCCAAGCGTTTGCAAGTTGCACAGATCCCAGCTCTGCACTACAGCGCACCTTCATGCCCCATGCTGCTACATTGGTCGGGCTAGGCTGGGGCAGGCAAGCTGACATTTTCCAAGTCCTATGTAAATGTAACCCTTTGATCGTGAAAGATCTCTAGATCTTTCTATGACATTCGTCCTTTACCGGTAACATCCTCACATGATCCCTACAAGATCCCAAGCTGACCCGAAAGTACTCCCTAGATCACATACACATACTGCCTGCGTAAACATTCCTAAATCCTGCGGCATGCGGAAGCCCAGGATGAAGACACGGCCTGTGCAGACTGCCAGGGGATCGGAAAGCTGCCGTAGCAAAGCCGACCTGGTGATGAAGCCTACGTTTTGACAGAATCATAGGTAGGGATGAGTCATCAAAGCAGGTGGCAACAAATACCCGACCAGTCATGCAGTAAGCGTGAAGGAGAATGCAGTTGTGGCAGCAGGAGGAGTAGTAGTAGTAGTAGTTGTTGTTGTTGTTGTTGTTGTCATTGTTGTCGTTGTTGTTGTCGTTGTTGTCGTTGTTGTTGTGGTGGTAGTAATAGCAGCAGTAGCAGCGTGTAATCAGTAGTAGGAACAGTGAGAAAAAGACAGCCGATGGCAACAACAGCTAGGGCAACCGAAACAAGAACAACAAGAATAATGACAACAGCAGCCAAGAACCACTCAAACTCCTTTTTAACCAGCTTTATAAACGCTAGACTGAGTGACTGCTACACTGAGCGGCCCATCTTCCTATGGAAGCGCATGGAAGCGCAAATCCTTTCACCATTGCAAACCGATCTACAGGATCTCCCTCATGCAAGAAGGTTCCCATACCTGACATATCTGCGGCTGATGGCTTATGAAGGGTCCACAAGGGGTCTGCAGAATCTGGTCATGTAGTGATCCGCAGATCTTCTGAGGGCTTCCTTGACAAATCCATGCTCAAGCTGCTTGTAAGAGGGCTCAATTGAATCTAATTCATCATGAAAACTAGCAAGTTAAGACATGGCAACATGGCGGATTTTTTCGGCTTTGCTGTTTGTGGACACGAGGATGGGGTTGTGGGGCGCGCCGCTTATGATGCTGTACACCCAGAATTCGAAGCATCAACCATGATTTACGGAGTCAGGAAAACTGGTTAGCGTTCTGTGAAGCATTGCAAGGCTTCGTTGATGTGCATGCTGAACTTGTCACCCAGCAAACACTCTGGGTGCGCTGTTTGTATCTAACCCATAATTTTGCATGATGCTCCAGTCATGTCTCTAGAATTACAAACAGAATTTACATTCAATACTGGAACTACTTCCATGAGTCGGCAAAAGTGGTCTTGCACAAACAAGGACGGGTGCATAATGGTGAGAAGGAGCCAGGACAAGATCAAAAAAGCAAGTGTAGCAACAGCTGACTTCGCTCTTTGGTCCTGTTTCTGGTCCTTCTAGTTGTCCGGAGAAACTTATTTTCAGGAAGTACCAAGACGCCCTCCTCCATCTCAACTCGCATGAAATCCTTACAGATCCAGGTATCCACTGCCCTGCCCCCAGGATCCACAAAGTACCCAATGCTCAGCAAGTATCGAGCAAGAAGATGCGCTTCATTTTGCCTTTGGCAGCTTCACTTGCAGCAGGCGTGCTGCATGCAACCACATTTTGCATTCTTTTTTGATCAGCAGGCGTGCTGCATGCATCCACACAGCATAGCCGCCCCCTACATCCTACAGCAAGATGCCGGAACAAATGCCTTTCTACCTTGCTGCAGTTGAAAATGCCGCTGGACAGGAAGCGCTATACTTTGGGCTCCGTCCCTGTCCGGGCGATGGGCAGTTGATAGCCCTATCTTAAAGCGAACATCATGACAGGAAGGAGGTTCATAGGCCAATCCTTCTGCTTCTCCATGGCAACAAGCTCCAGGCCGGCTTGCGCAAAGAGGTCCCTCATGTGCCTGCCCAAGCCATCAGGTAGTTTCGAAAAGTTAGGGTCATATACACCCGCTATACTATAACCGCCCTGAGCAATAGGGGAACGAAATCCCTGAAGGGCTCAATCCCTGCACCCTGCCTATCAGATCGCGTGATGGAGGCATCTCGCTCATCCACAAGCCTGGGAGAGCCCAAACGTCGAGAAGCCATGCAGGTTCGGAGGGTCCAGGGCTGAAAGCTCGTCGGGTCTTGGAGCTTCAAAATGTCGGGCTCAGGCGGGGCAGGCCTCTTTCTAGTATTTAGCCACACTTGGGGAACCTGCATGACAGCAGGCCTTCCTATGGTGGGCTCACTCTCTGCTGCTGCTGTTGCTGCTGCTGCAGATTTTGCCGCTGCTGCTGTGGGTGCTTCGTTGCTTTTGTCGAGGGTGTTATGATTGGAGGTCTCACAGGCTTAGAGTCTAGGACCCAGAAGTGTCCGGGCTCTGTTGGGCTCTTGGCGCTTCCCCGGTTCTCAACTCCCAAAATCATCTTTGCGCAGGGCGGCCCAGGGGAGTTGTTCAGCAGACAGTTCTCCTTCACAACCAACAGGCCAGAGGGCTGCCTGGGATTTGGAATTACTTTAAAAGGGGCGGCAGGGTTTTACAAGGCTTTAGGGGAGGGGCTCACACAGTTGTACACCCTCGAATTATGCTCAGAAAGCGTTCGGCTGAAAAATGGGCGTACAATCTTAAATGCGCGAGGCAGGAACTATCTACTACCATCATTGCCTAGCGGGGGATACAACTAAACGAAAAAAGGAGATGTACTCCAAGAAAATCCGGTTGCATGGCCTGTCGCAAGCACCGCAGAACATCAATCAAATCCGCGTCGGTGAGATAAAGCAAGACCCACTGAACCCAAACCAGGTCATAGCGGTCGGGGAGCGTGCCCACATCCTGGGGAAGACTAGCACACTTTACGAAGCCCCATAACCCATGCAAGGATTTAAAGGACTGCATGCCGCCAACGAGGGAGTACAATTGCAAAGGAAGATTGAACACCAACACCTTCAATGCCGCTGCCCCCCAACCCAGTACCCTCAGTCCTTAAACCGTCTTAAACCGTAAACCCCAAAAATCTGTATGAATCCTTTCATGCCAGGGGTCTTGGAGTGACTTTTCCAGGAAGTGCCTTGCCGTCCCTAGCCGGGTCGCTGAACCGCCCTTTAAATGGCCTCCTAACAGGAGGCGACTGCGAGCTTCCTGAGCTTGCTAGAATCGGTCAGAAAATGACTGGGACTATATTCATTTTGGGGGGTTGGACCTCAGGAATGGAAAAGAAAATGGAAAGCATTTGTTGTACTTAGGATTTAGGGTTTGAGGGGAACCCATTCCTTGACTAACTACCAGCGCTGAAGAAGAATCAAATGGAAAAGCACATACAAAATGAAATGGAAACTAGTGGCTTTGCGGGCTTGAAATGTAGTTCAGGATTTCCGGCGGGACTTAGGGCTGGAAAAGAGGAAAGGCTTGCGAGATAGGAATTGGAGTTGGCACCAAAGCTTTAGTCCTCAGGCTACGCGCACAAGCTGATGCTGTGACCTCTGACCCGCTGACGATACCAAACCCACATTCAAAAAGAAAACCACTTGATCCCCACCTCGAGGAGATCAGGAACCATACCAAAGAGAACATTATTGGGATACGGCCCCATCTTGTCCAAGATTCCTCGAGTAGTTGGGGGCTGGGTTCCAGCAGGTCCACCACCTCAGGGCACGAAATTTCAGCAAGACCCCTTACATCTCACCGGAGTTTTGCGGGTGATTGAGTCTTCCTCGTACGAGAGCGGCTTTGAGGAGTCTTTGGGAAGATTGCGGCTGTCCTCTCTGGCTAAATTCTTGAATGCAGCACCTGGATTCAAGTCTGGGAAAGAAGTGGTGTGAGGTAGGTTGCGGCATCTCTCACCGAAAAGCTGAAAGCATGAGCCCCCAAGCTCAATTACTTGGGGCTTCTCACAAATCCCTTGATACTGGCCCTGGAGAATCCCTCACACAGGAGCCCCAAAAGCCATGCCCCGCACAACAGGACGAGACCTCACAGTGCCGTAGAAGAAGGTGTTCTGTGATTCGTCCTATGCCCGCACCACACTCCAGGGCAGTTTCAAACTTTCCTTAGCTGATGACAGCCTGATCGCCCCCTGATCAGCATGCGGATTCTCAACACGGTGTACGTCCGGAGGCCAACCGATCTATGATGGGTTCTGAGGCGCGACATCATGGCTGCTTCCCTTCTTTGGGATTGTTTGATTCCTCCGTTCTGCGGTGCCCAGTACGCTCTAGATCTGAGAGGGTAACCTGGGGATGTCTAACCATGAGCTCAAGAAGTTTGCATACAAGCTGTGACTACAACAACACAACTATCAATCACTCGCAACTACGCCGTCATACATTGTCGTACTCTGCGAACATGTGCGACTGTTTCTGATTGTTGTTGGGTTTTAGATAGCCGGCGCCGGTGCTGCAAGTGGTGGCGGGTTCTAGATGGGGAAGGACGATGAGGGAGGCGAAGGAAAGAAGCGACAAGAAAAGTCATAAGTGGATGAAGAAGTCTTGATGGATTCGTCTCATCGCCTGCGCGTGCCTGATGATGTATGATGATCACTTGTTGCTAAGAACCCTTACCACCAGTCCCAAAGAACATTGTTCAAAAAAAGACTGCCAAGATTCTCGTGCCCTGCAGGCCACCCAGAAAGGCCTCCGAGGCTTCCAGGTCCTGACGGGAAGTCTCCGGGTGGCCTCCCAGCACACCGGAAACGGACGCTTCTTGTCGGGACCAATATCCTCAGAGACAGAAGAATGAAGGAGACCAACCCCACCAAACACAAAAAGATACAAAAAGGATCCGCCCTAACAGGAGGCCAGCATCCGAGGGAGCGCGAGTACCACTCGTGGGTTCCCAGCGCCTGCCAAGGCTGATGCGGCCTTAACGTCCTTGCTGGTTCATGTTGTCCAGGCTGAGGCGCTTTTGAGCTAATCACATAGAGTCGGTGCCTCTGCTGTGCTTGGAATCCCAGCAGAAATCCAGTCTTTGCTGAACTGTCTCTTCAAGTAGTTGAAAATCAAAAATGCTACATGGTATTGTCAAAACCTTCCCAGATGCCTCTCCTCTAAAGGGGGAACTTGCAAGTCCTCAGGAGGGGTCACAACCCAGAGCTGCATCTGGTCCGTGACGTCGCTTACGACAAAGCCATGATGCCTCCCCTCCCTCTGGATTGCCATAGCCAGGTCCACACCACAGGGCCGGAGCTCAACAGCCACCAAGATTGTGGGGCTGGACTCGCCCGACTCCCCTTGAGAAGACCGTAGAAGCTCTGTAGCAGAACGAAAGAAGGGTGAAACTAAACGATGTTCGTAGAGCACATCCGATGCCATGACAAAGTCGAAGCGGCCGAACTGCTCGACTGCGGCTTCCACGTCTCCGCTACCGGAGAAGTCTAAGCGCAGCACTTGCGGCCGTGGCCCACGGTGCCGCCTGGTATAGTCAGCCGCGTTTCGCTCCAGCAGTGGCAGCACCCGCGCATCACCGTCCGACAGAACCACCGTGGCCCCATGCGCTGCTGCCACAAGACCGCAGAGGCCGCTGCCGCTGCCAAGCTCCAGCAGTTGCACTTGTAGTTCTTGGGGGTTGTAGGCATAGAGCCGCCGCAGATACGCAGTGACGAGTAAGGAGCAAGGCCAGAGACGTGCTCCCACTGCACCGCGGCTGCTGAAGCCTCCAAAGGGAGCAGCCTGGAGTTGCAGGTTTCCTTCCGGTGCTGCCAAGGGCAGCAAGACGTCCCAAGAAGCCAAGCCGAGGGTGTCAAGGTCACTCCGCTTCCACGCACGCATAATCCGCAGAGTCACCTGTGCAACCTTCTTTCGCGATGGTCGGTGAAAACGGGCCACTGTTTCGGATACATCTGCCAAAACTGAGCCCACATAAATGATTGCCCCCTCCGGTGAAACTTCCAGCTCGAACGCCCCGATTCCGACGAGAACTCTGCGCATGTGACATCTCACAGAATCATACTGCACTGCAGGTGGGCCCACAAGAATGCTGTCGCTGCCGAGAAAAATGTGGAGGCTCCCTGTGTCCGTTGCCCACGGCAAAGTGATCGAGATTTCGATAGGCTGCGTCTGCGGATGCATTCCCATCTGCAGCTGGTCATGTGGAAACCTTCGTAACAGTAACAACTCCTTACGTGCGCGTTTACTTGACTCTATCCGATACCTCCACAATAATCAGGTTTCTACAGTCAGCGGCATGGCATGCCAGCACCGGCACGGCTGCGGTAAAAGTGCATTCCTTTTTGGACTTCAGCCGGACCTGATCAAATCTGCATGCAGTTGCGGTGCAGACATGTGCAGACCACTGTCGGAGAGGATCCTTCAATTCTGTGCTGTACAAGGCGTACGTGATACGCAGCCGATAAACTCTCGCTCGGCCTTCCTCGTCATACGTGTCGACAGCAGAGTAGTTGGTGCAGGTATCCAGTTTTAGTTATGTCTCACAATCGTCGCCCCACGAAAAAACAAATCAAAAGCGCGAGAACATGAGATCCCCACCAAATGTTGCGGTGCATAACTCCGCGCTCCACTTCCAAGCATCTGAACTGACCCATCTCCGAATGGTTCCCTTGAGGACAACCCTTGAAATCTGGCCAAGATTCCCTAAATCCACAAAGCCCCTGTCCCCCCGAAAAAACATTTAAGATGCTAAGACACTACTTCCTTTTGGGATGCCCACGTGAGAGTGTTGCACAGGAAGTCCTCTGTGGCAGCTCCCAGATCCACCTGAGCGTAGGTTATCCAGAGCTGGAGTGTTTACTGTCAGGCCTTGGCTTACAAAACCTGCAGGGGGGAACGGAGCTTGCTTGAGGCGGCTTGAAGCCACAACCCTGCCTGAGAATCCCTCGCTCAGGCTTGGGCGCCAGAAGTAGCAGAGTCGTAGAGGTAGATGTTGTGAAAGGCGCACAGCAGTTGAAGCATCGTTGATGTCTGCCAGCAGGCACAAGCTTGACACACAAAAGGTTTCGAAAGCCCCCGAATGCGCAGTTCAGGAGAGGTTCTCAAAACTATGGACCCCCATTTGGCGAAGACCCTGGGGAAAGCATGAAGACATACAAGGACAGACATGGCATTAGTCAAGCTGTATGTTGGGTGTCCGTTTCAGACACCATCTTTGAAAGTAATCGTAATCTTCGGGCAACACAAGAGGGATCTACCCTGTAACATTGTCGGCATTAGGATTCCATTCTATAACACCTCAAAGGAAGAGGAAGGCCCCTGAATCCAAGGAGTTCGGAGTTTTTCGGCCCATCCTCCGGAATTGCGTAGGCTTTGGGCCTTGAGGCATGGGTTCTTGGGGGTCACGGGGTTTGGGGCTCTTGGGGATTTAGGGTTGAATTGACTGGCCGAACGCTTCGAAAGGGACCAGAACCCCTGTGCGTGATGGATATCTGATAGTCATTACCCTGTGCCATCTTGACGGAAAAACCCTGCAAAGCCAACCTCTGCGCTGAATCTTGATCCAAGGACTGCCGAAGCCCGCACTTTCTTACAAGGTACATCCAATTCCATGCAAGAGGATATCCCCTACTGCACATTGTCCCCCAGAAACCCGGGCCCAGCGGAGAAGACCCTTTTCTGGAATCATTCCATCGAGCCTTGGCCTAGACCTGGACCCTTTCCCTAAGGCGCTCTTGGAAGGAGTCCAAAGCAGGTTGCTACTTATGCACGGGCCTCCGTTTCCTTGGCGAAGCCCGGGCCCTTGGCTTTCAAATGTCAAACCATTTCTTTGTCGTCATGTTCATGGGAAGCACTGCGAATACCAGTGCTATCTGATCACAGTGGCAGTATCTGTGGTAGCAGTAGTAGCAGCAGGGTAGTAGCACTTGTAGTTGTAATAGCAACTTTTGTAGTTGTAGTGGCAGCAGTAGGCATCGCAGTCGTCGTGGTGGGGGGAGGCCGCAGAAGAAGAACGACAAAGAAGAAGAAGAAGAAGGAAGAAGAAGAGAGGAGGAGCAGGAGGTTGACGACTACACGCACTACAAGTCTGCTTTCAAGCCTACACGCCCTTGCAAGTCTGCGCAGCCTTTTGGTTTTCCAGGGTACAACAATGAACCATGTGTTACTACCCGACATCTAGGATGGTGATCCGCCTTACCTTAACTGCACTGGAAACTTGCGTTGCATTCCCCGACCACGCGTGCGGTGGCAAGGTTCATCCGAGACATACTTTTGAAGTGGCTCAGTCACGAATGATTGGAGGCAGGACAGCAAAGGCTATGCACAACCCCGCTTTCTCAAACACCCATACGTGCCACAGCTTCGAGCAGTCCCAGAAACCACAAACATCTGGCAAGAAGGAGAAGCCAAAGCATCTAGCCTTGCCCGCCTTCACCTCCTTCACCACCTCTACCTCCTCCTCCCCCCCCATCCGAGGCCTGGACCTTTGCCGAATCCGCGCCTCGCTTAAACCACCGGCCAAAGTGATTTCAATAGTTGTGGGGGAGGGAGACTTTCAAACCCGACCCTACATCCCACATCCCAAAGTGTAGGGTTTCTGATGCAGTAGTTCCTCCATCGAGCACAATTCACGCAAGCCAGTCTGGGTTGACTCCTAGCAGCCCATCATGTTGCTTCTGCATGCCATGGTAATCTAGATGACAATGTCAGCTGATCCGTGTTCATATATGCACCGCCATTCTTACGGTGAATAACCGCGTGGTAAGAGGCCTGCTTTTAACCCGAATCCCATTGGAATTATTCGTGAAACAACTCATTGTAAGAGCGCGCGAAGATTATTCCAGCGGATTTGAGGGTATCTGGACTTCAATAGCCCTTCAACATCGAGACATCAGCAATGCAAATCTCTTATAGAAGTCATCGGAGCCACATGACAATCTAGCTCCGCATAACTTTTGCGCAGCCCCTTCTACATGGTTGCTTGATATGTGGGATGGCCCCGTTGTCTGGAAGATCACCAGCCTTCATCGCAGATTCCAGCCACGGTCTGCACGACGCGAGTGTGGCACTGCACCTCACTCTCCCAGGCGGAGTTGCTGTCAAAGGTACGGAGATAAGTGAGGGATTGAATTCGAGGACTGCCTTGTCATATATGATGGATTCCCCGAGTGTCGCAAGGAGTCCCCGCAATTCTCAGGAATGCGTCTTCGAGTATCTCTGAAAATGTCACCTGCTGACTTCCAGGGAGGAAGTTGATGAAGTGGAGTTTTAGAAGCCAGGTCTTTCACCAGAGATCCTTTACTCAGAAGATCTCCATGATTTTTTGAAATGATAAAATGGATTGCAGAGAGCACTGTGGGCTTATATAGGGATCATTGCGGGCGTGGTATCTCTCTCAGTTCAGGCAGAAGCTCATTGCCTTGTTGTCCTTTCATGACGCTCTCAATCATATTCCGTCTCCTGGGCTCACCAAAACCTTGTTTGGAAAAAGTCCACCTCCCTAGGCGCCTTAGCTACCTGAATTAGATGCCTGATTACAGGAAAACCTGCCATTTTCAACACGCTGCAACATTCTGGAATCGAAATCGGAGGGTCCAAGGCTGCCGCAAGGCAGTCCATCTCATTCGCCACGATCATGACCGGTGGATCTACTCCAGGCTCCTGCGTTTTCGTTTTGCTCAACATGTCTCAGGCTTCCAGTAGAGCAGCAGCCTGGTGGCAACGACCTCCGATGGATCGGGGCAGCCATACGGCCAGAATTGGATACAAGCTATGGCAGCGCACGCATCTGAGCAGCGTAGAGATATTGCGCCAAGATGCTTACGGCCCACACAATCCGTGATTGAGCCCGGCTTCCCGCCAACCTAGCTCCACACATCCACAACTGGACAAAGGCCCATAGTTTAGCCTAACTTACAGGACCAATCTCCAGCCCTTGGCATCTTCAATCCAAACCTCCTAGCCTTTGCCTCCCAAAACAGAAGCCCTGGGCAAAGTTCAAGCTCAGCTCACAGAAGCAAACAATCATGACAATGAATTCGGTCCAAAACTCGCATCGCAATCGCCAAATGATCCAGACTGGAGCGCATGGATCCTAAGAAACAAACCATAGCTTCGGTTCCAGACCTTAGACCCAACCCTGGGCATCTCCTCCGACTTTGAGGTTTCCTCCCCTTCTCGCGGCGACGTTGGCTCCGGCGCAAGCTCGAAGGTCATGTGGTGAACCTGGGGTACGGTCTCGGACTGTTAACATTCGGGGACGTGTGAGGATCAGGGGTCGTGGTGTAGAGGTTGCCTGATTCTGTAGGCTGGACTGTTTTTGGAGTAACTAGAAGCGCCATGCGTCTTTGGTGGCTTGCTGTGAGGCTTGGGAGGTATTGAGACAAGCATTAGCGGGTTCTCAACGCCATCGAAAGTGCTACCCGGCCATTTTTCACAGTGGAGGGTTGGGCCGCGACTGTCCTAGGCTTTTCGGAGCTTGGTCGTTCGGCTTTCCCAGGGCTTTCATGTCAAGGTTCTAGAAACAAACTGCGACACAAAGACACCCATCGCCTGGATTGATGGCAATGTGCTGCTAGAAGCAGGTAGCAGATTGGTACGTCAGTAAGTAAAAGCACACTCATGCTACGTAGCCACGATCCTAACCAAAAAATATCATCAAAATCAGCACAATCATAGCAAACACTACTCTCCTGGAGGGAATATAGGTACTGCTCTAAGAGCATATAACATAGGTAGTATTAACAGGGATCCACTCTCCCCCTCCTTGGTTATAGCTCTCCCCTCCCTAAAGCAGCAATAAAGACTACGGACGCTCAACTCTTGCCTGCCTTGCCCCAGATGGAACCACAAAAGAAGTGTCGAGAAGCCTGGGCAGAGTATAATACTAATAAAAATAATAGTACAGTAGCAACAATACTCGTAGTAAGAATAGTAATAGTGCCATCATCCTGATCGATGATGCCACAGCTTGGCTTCGCAACTGTTACTTTCATGATCTTTCATGATGCTCTGCGTGCGGCGAATACGATTATATTGCAACCTTCCTCAGTCACTTCTGACGCAACTGAGAACTCCACAAATGTTATTGCCGATGTTATGCTGTGATACATCTGATTGTCAGTTGCTTGTGCCAGTATAATGTTCGAAGTCAGGTTGCAGCCAGGTTTGTACGTGTCTGCTGTTGG